TAAAAAAAAAAAAAAAAACACTTTGTTTTCCTTAATAATATAAGATGTAAGGTGTCTAAATATGCTCACACTTTAAATATCCCAAATGCTATTGTATTTTCCTAAATGTTTCTCAAATGTTACTAAATTTTAAAAGTTTTCTAGATTGCCACGCATCGCACACTCAAACACTGCCTTTCTATAGTAAGAATGTTAAGCCAGTCGAGGGGACAAGTGAACAGTACAGTTAAGCTTCACCAATTCGAACAATTCTAGTATTTTACAGAGAAAAAGCTTCTTGATTTGAAGGCACTTGTCCAAAAAGTTTCCAAGAAGTGAAACAACTTTCATAAACAGAGAAAGCGCATTAACAGCCTAAACTGCTAATGTATTGTTTTTCAAGGATTATAGAAATAAATAAAAAGACAACCAAAGATACATATAAAGTTCTGATGTTACAAAAACAAAGATCAAATCACCAGCAATGGAGAAACTAACCATTACTTGTTCACCTCCATATTGGCTGCAGAAGCTTCAGGATGGTAATGAAGAATTTCCATCCACATCATTTCTCGAATCATATCTTCGTCTAAATCCTCGTCTATGTCGAGATTGATTGGAACATTAATGGGAGGGTCACATCTTGGATCGTAAAGGCGAGACATGTATGGGTGTTGAAGTGCTTCTGTTACACTTATCCTCTTCGTAGGGTCGAAGACAAGCATCTTCTGTAACAGATCGAGGGCCAGAGGATGGGCGTTTGGATAAAGGCGGGAGAAAGGAGTTCCGAAGGAGTAAGGAAGTGACTTAATGTACTTTCTCGCCTTTGGGTTATCAATAAACTCGAGATCATTTTCCCTCTGGCTACCGAGGATGTTGATAATCAGTTTAATCTGGTTAAGACACTCTGTACCAGGAAAAATGGGTTTTCGACCAAGAAGTTCGGCAAAAATGCAACCGACAGACCACACATCAATAGAGGTGCCATAATTGTCACAGCAGAGAAGTAGCTCTGGTGCACGATACCATCGAGTGACCACATATTCAGTCATGAATTGGCCCTGGCTACTGCTTGTACGTGCTAGCCCAAAATCGCATATTTTCAGTTCACAGTTTGCGTTGATAAGTAGGTTCCCAGGCTTCAAATCCCGATGAAGAATGTTTGCTGAGTGTAGATACTTCAGACCTCTAAGTAACTGCATTGTAATATACAAAATATGTCAAGTAATCAGATCTGCCAAGCACAAGGTGAAGCTTTGTATAGGCGATCAAATATGTAAAAAAATATTTCTTCTATTTTCATTATTATCAATTTTTGCTTCAGAAGTTCCTCGCCATTGTAATAATGCAAGTTAAGAGCAGAAGTTGCAAGGGAATGAACATGGCTTATCGAATAATCACCCTATGTACCTGGAATAGGAAATACTGACAATGATCATTCGACAGTGTTTGGGACGACTTAATTATCTGATGCAAATCAGTATCCATAAGCTCATAAACCAAGTAGACGTCCTTGAAGCTTCTCTTATGATTTGGAAGCATAACATCCTTCAGAGCTATGATGTTTTCATGTCTAAGATGGCGGAGGAGCTTCAATTCACGCAGAGTTCTTAGTGCATCAATGCGGTTTTCAAAGGCATTATATATCTTTTTGATTGCAACCTTTTCACTGGTTTCCCTGTTGACAGACGAGCAGACAATACCATACGCCCCTCGACCAATAGGCTTGATTGGCACATACTTCGTATCAATCTCGAACAGTGTTTGCCACATGGAATAGTAATGCTTCCCTGGTGTTCCCACCCCATTCGGAGGCTCAACATGAGTTGCCATACAACTGAAATGATTACAAAACGGATCAAATTCCAAAGGATCCATATGCAACACATAGTTATAGAACAAGGAATCCTAAAAAAAACTGGGCCTACATAAGTGCACCTATCACATCATCCAGGAGCATTCCATACAAATGAACCTTAAGAATATCATTCTACCTCGTGATAGTTTCCATTATTTTAGATGCATTGTATAATTAACATGTTCTCGTTCCTATGATCATGGACAGTCCTCACACATTTTGTCCACCTTTCAAGGGACAGCTAAACCATGTGGCTGTCTAATGTGACCAATCAGTCAATACCATCCAAATAACGACAAATATTTGATGCAATGCACCATTAGTTATAACAGGACAAATGACTGTACTGCATATTGTACAGAAACAAGGAAGAGAAAAAATTCAAAAACGATTAAACAATGATGAGATCACTCAAATGCAATGCTCAATAAGGAAAATACAGATGCAGAGTAGTTACAAGATAATTCCAAGATTTTAAACATTCATTCAACTAATGAGTGGACTGCACTTAATCAAGTGATAAAACTTATAAAGAAATCATACAGAATAATTCGGAGATTTGAATTTTAAACATGCTTTCAACTAATGAATGGACTTCACTTCATTCAATTGAGAAACCCAACAAAAATATTTTCGAAAACTATCTTTTTTACGCAAATTAGCTTTCATTGAGAAGAAATTCTTCCCACATTCAGTATAATGAAGTAGTTTCCATAATGAAATTTCAGGACATTAACAGTGTAGAAAAAGAGCTGACTTGTGTTGAAAAGATGAACTTTCCCATTTTATTCCATTTTTAAAAATTCAAAGAAACACTATATAAAAATCTTCTAAGAAAGGTAAAAAAAAAAAAAAATTATAGACAGTGACAGAAATTAAACAATTATGTGTAAATCACAAATACTGGTAATCAGCACTGTAAATTCACAAAATTCAAGTACAATTCAACCAAACCTAAAACAAAAAAGAGGGAAAAAAATGATATCGATAATTTACCAGCAAAAATTGACCAATTGCTTTCCTTGATATCACTATTAAATCGCTCCTTGTCTATCTTCAATTCCAACTCGTAAATCAGAATTCCGCATCCAATCCCACTTTTTTCCCCCTCAGTTGGAAACTCAAATTATCGACTAATTCTACTCAACTCCGTGCAATTTCTGCACAATTCACCCAATTTCCCTTCAATTTCACCGAATTGGATCAGAAGGATCTGTAATGATAAATTACCCTCACATTTTCTTTCAATATTCTACTTCAATTTCAGTGAATCCGATTAGAAGGGTAGTATAATATAGTATGAGTTGATTTTCAAGAAAAAAATAAGATATTTCAGAATAAATGTTCGATTCTTTATCTGGTCACCATCAAAGTATGGTCAATGATGATGCAAACGACACCGCGCTAAAATCTTTAATTAATACAAAAAGCTCCAATTATGTTAAAGCAGTCACGTTGGCCGGTGTTAAATCGTGTGTTCGTACTGTCCATGAAGATAAGCCAATTATGGTGCAACACCTTTAAAATTATAGAAATTTAGGGCTGCTGGGCCCCACTAGCGCTTTTGTCCATTGTTCAAGATTCCCCAATATTGCCCTATGGGAGTCCGAGCTATTGATCCTGTTGGATACACGAATTTTCAACATTTAAAAGTGAAATTTTGAGAATCTAATTTATTTAAGTTAATGAGTTTCAATCTACTCGTGATGAAAACTATTTGTATAGATGATTAAATTTCAATGTTGAAATATGAAGTGCTTCGATGATTTTATTCACTAGATTTAAGTCTCATGAATATTACGTGCAATTTTAGCAACTACATTAATAATTCGGTCCATAAGAATTCGAATTTACATATTTAAATAATTTGGAGGCCATAAGTTCATTTTTAAATGTTAAAATTCTATAATCACATCAAGTGAAATGTGGGAGAGTTTAGCCTTAATTTCATTTTAAAATAAGTAATTATATTATAATCAAATAAAGCCTATAAATTAATATGAAAAACTGACGTCAACTCGTTTTATATGACTTTTAAGAAGTTAAAGTGAGTTTTTGAGCCCCAAAAACTGTTTTTTGAGTCGTGACTAATTTCATGAAAGTGTTTTTTTCAGTTAAAAGAGTTTTTAAATTAAATTGATCCGATATGATTTTCTTTAAATGTACTTCTCGAATATAGAACTCTTTTAAAAATTAACTTTTAAACAAAAATTAAGATAATTTTATCATGAAACTCTTTACAAGAAGCGAAAGTGAAAGTAACAATCATACGAAAACGATCTTTAAAGTGTAACTATTTATTAGGTTGTAGAGGGCATAAAGAGTTTTATTTACTTCCTTTTTTTCTCCTTTCTAATATCGTTCAGGATTATCATGTTCACGATGACATACATTCTATAAAATGGACAAATATTAAAGATTTTTTATATATTAAATATGGGAAGAATATAGTTTTCAGAAAAATAATTAATTAGATTTGACTTTCTAACGTACGTTAATTTTATTTAATCACTATTAATCTCGTGCATGATGCAATATGCAGAATTTTTCCATGCTTTTTAATTTTTTCCCCCTTTAAAATGAGAAAAATAAGTCGTTCACCTAACTTAAATACATAATAAAATTTTGGTGTTTAGTCATTTCAGATTGTTATGATTGGTCGGTCGGTTGGCTGTTGGCGTGAGAATTAATACAAAGATTTGTTTGGCTCTAAAGAAAGCAGTTAATTATTTTATAGTCCCACAAGAGATTGGAAAAGTAACACAAAATGACAGCGATATTGGTAGTAATTATCTGAGTTAACATTAGACTGTGTCAATACCACACTACACGTAGAAAAGTAACATAAATGACAACAATATTAGTAGTAATAATTGGATTTAACACTTGATTGTATCAACACTATAGCACGCGTTTCTTGAACTGCGTCAAGTGTTACTAAGTGAAAGTGCCAAATGTGTCAATTAGGCAAAAGATAACGGGACATAACAAATATTAAAATCCCTAGAGTCGAAGACAACACTAAGCGTCCGTCTGATCTCATTAATCTTTCAAAAATTCGACTGTATGCCGTTGCAATGTGGGTCCCCCCCCCCCAATGCAATTTGCATGTTTCTCCAATAACATTCAAACTCAAACTTATGGATTTTTTGTTTTCCTTTCCCTTTTGTCCTCTAATGTAAGTGAAAAAGGGGTTGATTAGATGTATTTATTTGGGAGGAGTATTCATCCTTTATAGAGGGTGAAACGAAAGATTGTAAGAAATGTGTGTCTGCCCTAATGAATCTATTCAAACTGTTATTTTGTAGGCCTTCATTTTAAAATTGTACAAAATTCAACGTCAAATTTAGTAAAATTTGATAGGAATCTGCTAAATAGCCACACCAAGCATGGGTGAAGTCACTAAGTCTGTCATACCAACATTGTTAAACAGTGCTTTGCATTACAACTTGTAGCACATAGACGTCGCAAACTAACATGACAAAGTGCTATGCTTTTATCATATCAGTAATACGTGAATGGTGAAGAAAAGATACTTCCTTGTCCACCTGCTGACTTTTGGTGTTCTCACTGTTCCGACGGGCGTTTATGACCTAAAAAAATGAAGGGCGGGGCTTTGTCCCCCGTTTTATCTCTAGCATGAGAATTAGTGTATGTGTTGGGAGAAGTTCAGACGGAATTTAGATGGCTAAAAAAAATGTCCATCCTCATACCTGTGTCGCCTTTGGAGGTATTTATAAGCACTGGGTGAGTGACAGGCGATCATGGTGCCACGTGTTCCACATTGGCTTTCCCACTTCCCACATTCTGGGTGGGGGGGTCTCTAACTTCCCGCCTGGAGGTTGTACCCGTAATAACCACCATGGAGCTTTGTAAATTTACCTGAGATTTTTTGACTAAGTGTTTGGGTGACTACATAGGTAACTCTCGGGGAGTCGATAGCCTCGTATAAAGGTAGAGCGCCCCCGAGGGGTCGATGGCCTCGCGTAGAGTAAGATTGCCCTCGAAGGTCGATGGCCTCACGTAGAGTAACAGTGCTCCCAGGGGTTGATGGCCTCGCATAGAGGTAGAGCGCCCCCAGAGGGTCGATGGCCTTGCATCGACGTGTAGTGATCCGCCTCATTCATCATTGGGGATGGTTCTCTAGGCTAGCTTATATTATTAGCCCCTTATCCCTTATCGATGTTTTTGGGCAAGGGGTAGCGATTTCCCTTTTCTGGTTCTTTTTATTTTTTTATGGGGTAATTGGTACAAAACGTCCCTACCTTTCAATATTTTTGTGAAAAATGTCCATACCTTTCGTTTTTTGACGGATTACACCCTCACCTTTACTTTTTTTTTGCGCAAAACGTTATTCTGTCAACTCCCCGTTAAAATGCTATGTTAAATCAAAGGGTAATTAGCACAAAAGGTCCCTACCTTTCAATATTATTGTGTAAAACGTCATTACCTTTCATTTTTTGCTATAATTAGCACAAAAGGTCCCTACCTTTCAATGTTATTGTGCAAAACATCCATACCTTTTATTTTTTTAGCATTTTCACCCCTATCTTTCACCTTTCATTACGCAAAAGGTCATTTTCATCATTTTTTCAATAAAATGACGATTTTACCCTCCTATTCAAATAAAACAAAAAGAAAAGATGAATTACTAACAGCAATCATAGTACTTAAATTTTTAAAAAATTACAAAGAAATCATAAATTCTCAACCATCACCACTTTCACAACCTATCAAGCTGCCAACTACAAATCCACATAATACCACATTTTGGTCACCATGCCCACCGGACTCCACCACCGTAAATTTGGTTGTTTCGGACAGATTGGTGACCAATACTATGGAGGAGGATATTGGAGAGAGTGAGGCGAGACTAGTGGTGGTGGAGATCGATAGGTGTTGTGGCCGAAAGGTAGTGCTATATGGATCTATAGGTGATGGCTTTGTGGGGTTGTGAAAGTGGCGGTAGTGAAGAATTTATGACTTATCTGTAATGTTTTGAAAGATTTAGGACTATGATTGCAATTAATTAATTATTTTTCTTTTCTTTTATTTTTGTTTTATTTGAATGAGAGCGTAAAATCGTCATTTTATTGAAAAAATAGATGAAAAAGACCTTTTGTGCAATGAAAGGTGAAAGGTAGGGGTGAAAATGCTAAAAATGAAAGGTAGGGACGTTTTGCACAATAACATTGAAAGGTAGGGATCTTTTGTACTAATTATGCTAAAAAATGAAAGGTATGGACGTTTTGCACTATAATATTGAAAGATAGGGACCTTTTGTGTTAATTACCCTTTGATTTAACGGAGCATTTTAACGGGGAGTTGACAGAAGGATGTTTTGTTCAAAAAAGGTAAAGGTAAGGGTGTAATCCGTCAAAACATGAAAGGTAGAGACGTTTTGTGCTAATTACCTTTTTTTTATGTATCATTCACCTAAGTAAGTCAAGCAGTATAATTTAAAGTTGGCCACATATTTCACTGTATAGTTGGCACCCATCCAGTGGGCCCTAACTTGGAGGAAATTTCCCCCCAAAAAAAATAACTCGAATTTTCTTGCTTATAAAAAGGGGGTGATCCCTCACATGTGAATCATTTTCACCTTATCCCAACATCTTAGTCTTCCCTCTCTTCCAAGGTAACTTTTTCCTCTTTCTTCTTCCTTTTTTTTTTTGTAAAATTATGTACAAGACTATCATTTCTTCCTCTTCTAACGAAACTAGTGATGGGGGACCGATCGATGTCGGAATTCCGATCGATCGGTCGGCCGACTGGCCAACGATCGACAAGGCTGGTCAGGCGACCAGCATGTTGGGGCTAGTCAATCGACCAGCCCCCTGTTGTCCAACCGTAAGGCTGGTCAGTCCGACCAGCCCAAGTCTTTTGACCTCCTCCCCTTCGTCCGATGAGTTCCCTTGTTACTCTGATAGTCAAACCCTTCATGCTAATTCTAAGGTGTTTATTTCAAACTCTCCCAAGAGACATATTGGCCCCACCAAGTCTCCGAACCAAAACTTAGAAATCGGGTGGGATCCGGCTGGTGAGATTGACCTCCTTGAAATCCCAAAAAGTTATACTCTGTACAATCCATACTTAAGTTGGAAAAATGTCTCGGTAGGTATGATAGGGTCGATAATTATGTCTATAGAGCCCCAGGTCCCAAAGAAAGACTTATCGGATCCGATTCGCGCGATGTAGCTGTGTATAAGGACATTGTGGAGGGGGTTTTCAGTTTCCCATTCACCCATTCCAGGTGTTGATTTTCAATGAATTTCACCCTACCCCTAGTTAAATTAACCCCAATGCATGGAGAAAGGCATTGTATTTCTTGTATGTTTACCTTAAGAGGAAAATTCCACT